CAGCAATAAACGATTGCACTTTATTTTAAGGTGACATTGCTACAGTGTAATTATACATTTAAGTACTGAATAATATTAATTAACAAAACGAACTTACTATAGGGTTAGGATTTGCTTTATGGTTATTTATGCATAATGTACTATTATTAATATAGTATGAACATGAAACATGAATAAAACATCAAAATATTTATTTAATGTATATACAAATCAATACAAAAACTAGGAATGGGTTGCACATTATATTGTCTTTTTGCTTATTAAAATGATTAAAATGAATTAAAATTAGTTTTTATAACAATGAAATGAATTATTAGATAAAGTTAAGAACGTCAAAACGTTCATTCCAGGTTAATTTGATGATAAATAGAGATTATAGATATTAAAATGCAAACATACAAAAATGTAAACATCTTCAAAAATATATATATTCTTAAACACCTTCAAGTGTGTGTGTGTGTGTGTGTGCATATATATATATATATATATATATTCATCGTCTGCATAAAATTTAAACATTTAAACACACACACTCAGATCGACGGCTCTTACAACACACACACACACACACATTCCTATAAATGTGTTATTTGAGCAGAAGCCTCTCATACACAGTCAAACAGAGGAATGCCATTACTTTACAAAAAACATTTATTCTTGTAAACAGAGATAATTTGAAATATTGTGCAGTTCTATGAAGTTCAAAAATGGGTTCAGCATTCAATATTCTTTCATTGATGGGTATTTTTAAAGTAGGAACCATAAAAAAATAGATTAAACAAATATTTATCTCACATTGTTATCATTAAAATTACTGGCATGGTCACATTTTCCACAGCAAGAGACATTACTGCTGACCTTCTAAATCTAAACAGGATGACAGCTTATGATCTGAGGTTTTGGCACCGCAAAAAAACAAACAGACAATGTTACATGATTCAATGTGTGTGTGGTGTATTATTTTATAACACTGATACATTTATGAGTGGGTCAGTGACAGCATTGTGTTGGAAACAAGAACAGGTGTGGACAGGCTGTAGGTCTTCAACACAGCATGACCATTCCTGTGTGTTTAACAAGCAGTGTTGATATTTTGTGTAAATGTGTGTGCGTCTGAACAGTTGCTGGGCAGATACAGGCCGGAAAGACTAACAAACACACACATCATGTCTTGAGGTGAAGACCCACCCAGTTATTTTACACTAATAAAATACCAAGTATCGCTTTGATCCCAAAACAGTTCTGCAACCACACACACCCTTCATCATAAACACTGATATGAGGACTTGTACATCTTGTACTAATTTGTTTTCTTGGAGACTCGGCCTTGATGTCTTCGCAGATACTTCAAAATAGAATATTGTGGTTTATACATTAGGCCTGCGTACTGTTTTGGAAAGTATGGTTTGTGATGGCACCATGGTATACTGATGGTATTAGATGGAAATGCCATGGTAATTACACTATTTGCAATGGGTTCTACATTACCATACTATCTATGTTGCATGCATATATTTAAATGTTTTAAACTAATTAAGAGATAATATAATTTTGTAATCACTATGTAGCACTGATATTGGGGTCTAAAATTGTACTCATGCTCTTGCATTCTTATCAAAGAACAGAGTAGCACTTCACACTCAAAGCACTTCAGACACACACGTTAAACAGTGTTAAAAACAGAATGTACAGGGGTTGAGTGTAGACTTATTACGTGAATAGCCTTCAAATTTGTATTAAATCAAGGTTAATCTCACATCTAAAAGCTTATGATATGTTTTGTCATAAAAAGACAAAATACATTTTGTTTAAATTTTTATTAGAAACATAAAAAGTGAAAACTGGGCTTATAAAGTACAACCAAGTAAGCCCAACCCCTTTAATATTTTTTCCTGTTTTATTAATCAGTTTAGTGATTAACTTTTTTAATTGCATCATTTTTTAGTACCCATTTAATAATAACCAAACATACATGCTTCTTTTTTCACAAATCATTCCCACACTATAGTGTTCAATTACAATGAAATCCATATTTTCAAATACAAAAAAATATATGTGTAAGTATATAAAAGGGAAGAAACTAATTGCAGATCTGACAAAAATCTGATTTATGAATCTGTCTTAATCTCTTTGGAGAGTGTTTCATATGGATCTATTTGTATTTTAATTTTTTAATTGATTGATCAAAAGTAGTAGCACTAAAAACTTGTATGTACAAAAACAAAATCATATAAATTCTGTTTTGAACATTCTATTGATCAAAGAATTTAGAAAATGTACCACAGTTTCTATAAAAAATATTTTCAAGAATATATTTTAAAGAATAAAAAGGAACAACTGATTTCAAATGTTTCTTAAGCACTAAATAAGCATTTTATAATGATTTCTGAAATATCATGTGACATTGAAGACTGGAGTAATGATGCTAAAATATTTAAAATACCAAACAGTTATTAGAATTTGCAATACTATTTCAAAATTTAAAGTTTTTTAAATACATTTAAATACATGCATACTTGGTGAGCATAAGAGACTTCTTTCAAAAACATTTTTAAAAAATCATGTACTGACCCCAAACTTTTGTTTCATTTTCAAGTGGGCCGAAGGTATGCGCTTAATTGGATCATTTCCCCTATATACGTAAATGCAATCAGCACCCAGCACCACACAGACAGTCTTTCTATACTCTAAAGTCCTAAATCACAAATCTCTGCGCAACCACTCATGAAAATGAGCTTGTTTGAAGGTTTAATTGTGCTGTTATTCCCAATCCAGATACATGCTTACAGATCTAGTCTTGTTTTGGCACAGAACTTTAAGAATTCGTGAGTGGAGATATGGAAAACGTCCAGAGTGTCAGCTTTCTGAAGTCAGTTAAATATAACCTCACTAGTACGTGTTGTTGCACGGGGCAACACTACTTCTTGCTACACACTCTGAATCACTGTATATGCGATAAATGTGCACGGTAGGGGGTTAAAAGAGGGCGAGAGGGGCTTCAACCGAAAGTAGGGCAGCCTTTGACTTCATTCACAGAACGACAACCCAGCTGGCTCAAAAAAGGCACTCTTTGATGAAAAGCCACATGTCACAAATTTACTGAAAATTTACTTACCCTCAGGCCATCCAAGATGTAGATGAGTTTATTTCAGAACAGATTTGACATTTTAGAAACATGTCGCTCTTCATTTTGTCCACAAGGTGGCGAATTATTGCTATATTTTATAACCTTACGGAAATAAGGCTAACATAATCGAATAACACAAATATTAGATGTAAACGATGTGTTCTAAACACACACTCTTTCAATGTATTTCAGCATTCAGGCACTTTTTTCTCCAACAACTAACATCTGAATAAATATAATTTATTAAATATCATATTATCAAGAGTCTCAAAGTACCTTTAGCGGTTAGTAACGTTGGGAAGACGGATTCATTGTAGCGAGCGGTCGCTCGAACAGTAGCGTTTAAATGAACTGATCCACTGATTGGGTGTGAATAGTCATTCATAAGTGTCCTCGGGTGTAAAGTTATTAATTAATTTATTTGTTTAAAATTGTAATATTTATTTTATGATTCCAAGGGAGTTGAGTGAAATTCAAATCATAATAATCAACATTTCGAACGAATGATTCTTTCACAAAGTGGATAATATTATGCTACATACCACAAAAAAAACTGCTATACACTACAGTATATAGTGTGCACACTGTGTGGATTTTCTGTAAGCATAGAATACCTGAACGACCTGCTACATTTAACAAAATGAGCCATATACAAAACACCACACTAAAAAAAAACTAAAACAAAGAGCATACTTCCCAGATTATACTGCATCTCATAATGCAATGGAATAAACTTGACCTTTAATTTCCTGAGAGGAATTAACTATAAGATTGTTTTTCATTTATTATTTTATTTATTTATTTATTATTAAATAAACTAGTTACTTGGACCTGCAACGTTTTAAAGACATTTTATCACAAAAACTTCTGAATTTAGATTAAAGTGAAAGTTTTTGGTGAATTAAGTCTTATTGCTTCACCTACTATTAAAAAAAAACTACTTGGCAACATATAGTAGCCTATATACTGTGTAGTAATTGATAGGTATTGGGTTAGTATTTCATTCATAACAGAACTGAATTTGTTGCAATACTTTGAGCTTGAACTTGTTTACATTGCAGTGGAACACAAAAGTCAAAATGAGTTGCATGGAGTAGTTATTCAAGTAGTAATTTCAAATAAAAAAATAGTCAAATAGCTAATTGGCCTCTTGATGTTGATTGTCCTCTTATGATTCAGATTTTGTGACTTGCCTGATTACAGAAGGCACACGGGTGGGTAATAGCATGTGTGACCACACATTTGAAGAATTTAGGAGGAGAGACAGTACAATATATTGCAAACTCGAGTTATAGTACCTGTGTTTTAGACCATCTGGGAATAATATGTTTTGTGGCATTCCAAATAAAGACGATTAACAATGTTTTATGCAGTATTGTTACTTGAAAGCTTGCTTTGCGTTCTGAAATGTTTAATGATTTTTTTTTTTTTACTTTAAAATGATGGATTGTTAAATGACTCATCTTTCACTTTCTGCTATTAAGATGTGGCCGCCTCAATTACATTTCAGATACTGATGTCTGGTCATTGTTTTATTGTTATGAGCTGCTCACACTTGGAGTATTCATATTTACGCTTGCGTGTGACATCAGCTCATCTCATGTATGACATTATTCCATTTATGCAGAGACCCATTTCATAGTCCCTGCATACCTCAAAAACAGGCTGTTGTAACATTAAGTACCATGGTGTTACCCTTCAATGCCATCATTACACTATGGTATCATCACAGTACATTGTTTTTAATCTCTGAGTTACTAAAAACAGGCAGTGTCACTATATGACTACATAAACTAATAAACTTTAGTTCATCTGTTAATTCTTTACATCAAATCATTTATTTAGTGCATTCAAATAACAACCCCAAAAGTCTCTAACACTGTTCATAAACAGCAATCTACAGCTTTCAAACAGAATGAAATGAGAAAATTGGGGACAATGAATGAATAAATATGCTGTACTTAAATCTTCTTGTTTCTCTTAAATATATAAATATATTTAACTCTTCTTTTTAAATCTTCTCTTCACCTTCCAGTTTTGAGGTAAAGAAGCAGGACTTATAATATTTAAACATAATTAATATTAAACATATTTTAAAGGTCCCATGTGTGTACCTGTTTTTCTTACACACTGAGTGCATTCAGGTTTAAGGGACTTAAACCTGAATGCACTCAGACTCATGGGGACTTGTGTCACGGTGGGGACCTAAATTGAGGTCCCCACGTCTAAACAAGCTAATAAATTGCACAGAATGAAGTTTTTTGAAAATCTAAAAATGCAGAAAGTTTTCTGTGAGGGGTAGGTTTAGGTGTAGGGTTGGTGTAGAAAATACAGTCTGTACAGTAGAGAAACCATTACGCCTATGGAGAGTCCCCACAAGGATAGTAAACCAGACATGTGTGTGTGTGTGTGTGTGTCTGTGTCGGTATATATATATATTAGGGGTTGCCAATGGACTAGTCGACTTCAATGCTCTGCCATGACACTTTAAGCTTGACGTCGACTAGTCGCTGATCCTATAGAGGGAGCAACAGGATAAGAAATCTTTGAAGGACTTCCACATTTACGCTCCGTTTACAAACAGTTAAAATGACAAATAAATGCATACTCTATAAAGCGCTCCACAAGACGTGTGATTATATTACTAGATGCTCGAAATTGAACAGGAGAATGCACGTTTTAAACAGCTTATTGTAGAGGTAAGTTAATCACCGTTCTAATCTAATGCGCTGCTGCACTGTAACGCACACACATAGGCTATAGACAGTAGATCCAGGGCCGTTTCTAGCCAATTTGATGCCCTAGGCGAAATCCCTATTGCCCCTATTGTTTTATAACATTTTAATTTGGATACTATATACTATACTATTACATCTTGTTTAGATATTATCAGTGGCTACATATATATATATATATATATATATATATATATATTGCATATTAAAATATTAAGCAACACAAGCTTTTTCAATATTGATAAGAATAAATGTTCTTGAGCTCCAAATCAGCATATTTGAATGGTTTCTGAAGGATCGTGTGACACTGAAGTAATGATGCTGAAAATTCAGCTTTGCCATCACAGGAATAAATTACATTTTAAAATATTTAAAACGAAAAATTTTCAATTGTAATAATATTTCACAATATTACCGTTTTAACTGTATTTTGATCAAATGCACACTGTCTTGCGCACTCTCATTTGCATTTATTTGAATTGAATACTTACAAAGTTGAAGTCTGTGTCGTGCATGGTTGTCTCTTGTTTGCCGTTGTACAGTATAATAATGATGGGGTGGATCAGATAACAGGCAAAGCTGATGTTAGACAAAGGAGCCCAAAGGCCTAGAGACAGAATTCTATCCACAAAACCTGTGCAGACAGATAAATATTTAGGTACGTTTTAACAGAAGCCACTTATATGTATTTTTATTTGGCTGCCAGTTATTATGTTATTCCTTATTTGTCCTAATTATTTATTCAAATATGAGTTTTCAAAGCTCTTCTATTTAACTCCGTATCCTTCCTCACAGGCCAGGATGATCCAAACCAAAGCCAGGGCCCAAAGTGAGCAGTGCGTCCCCTGATAAACAGCATGAGGAAGGGACAGATAGGGCGGGACATCTCTCAGTACATAGACCAATCCAACTAAGAGGGCCATGACTGACAGCGAGCAGAGCCAACCTATGACTGCCTGCCACTGTCACATAGCAAAAATGATCTGTTATGAGACTGAAAACAACTTTTTGATGTAAAAAAACAAACAAAAAGCATTAAAGACATTGCCTGTTGCTTTATAAGTGTCTCTTTCTTGGTTGTCATATATATTCCGGCAAGAATCCCCAGTAGATATGGCCCATATCTTGTGTAGGGTTTGTTGTAGTAATACTGAAAATAGCTTTTGTATGCCCTGAAACAAGTCAACCAGTACATAATATAAATGAATAGCATTTAAAAAGCAATCGGAAACAATTAGGTAACATGAACAAAAATCAGACTCTTGGTACTAAAACTGCATTGCACTTGGCAGCTGCTAGAGGCCTTAATTGCAGTGTTCTAGAAATGCACACATTGCTCGTGTGATTACGTCTCATTGGGAATGTTTTCTCAGTTTAACGTTGCAATTAAGAAATGATCTCTTACAGAGTGGTTGGCTGGTGCACAGGGAGATGCAGAAAACTGGTGATCAGGGCTCCTGTTATACTGGAGATCATTAGGAGAACAACCGACACGACGTCAAGCACGCTTTTGTTTCTGGAAATAAGCAAAGAGGTGATGTTTATGACCTGGGAACAACTGGCAATCCTGACATGGGTGAATCTCACAAAACCTGTCAAGAACATTTCAGATTTTACCCAAAAAAATATTAAAAGAAAGAAATGAGAACACATGGTAAGAAAACAAAGCCTGTTTTTAGAACTATTCAGAAATTTTGCATTGCATTCTCATTACTGCAATGTAAAAAATATATATATCATTCTTATTACTAATACACAACCTTTTAAAAGAAAGGAATACCTTCATTCAGCATGGCTGCATTAAATTGATCAAAAGTGACAGATAATGTTCAAAACTGATCAAAATTTGAATGACAGATGAGATGTTTTTTTTTAATCGTTTAAACTTTCTATTAATTGTAGTATTGTTTAGAATACTTTGTGGAAAGGAACAAAATGTAGACAGGTGAACATATTGTACATCCCACATAAATATTATGAAGAAGCACTGTAGATTGAAACTTTTTGCTTTCAAATAAATGACACAAGGTTCAATCATTTGTCTAATGCAATGACATAAACATATTTTAAAGGTCCCATGACATGCTGCTTTTTAGATGCTTTTATATAGGCCTAAGTGGTCCCTAGTACTGTATCTGAAGTCTATTTCCCGAAATTCAGCCTTGGTGCAGAATTTCAGCCACTACGAGCCAGTCCCACAATGAGCTTTCCTTAGGACGTGCCATTTTTGTGTCTGTAGCTTTAAATGCTAATGAGGAGGAAAGAGGCGGGGCAACTGCCATGCTTTGCTCGATTGCAACCATGATGTCTCTCGCGGGAAAAAAAATATTGCGCTCGCCTCGCACGGTAGTAGCTCATTTTCTCATGGGCGGGCCAAATTCTCTGGGCGGGCAAAGCAGAGAAAGGGGAGGTAACCTTTCCCCGTATGACGACATAAAGGGAAGATTCCAGATTGGGCCATCTGAGCTTTCATTTTCTCAAAGGCAAAGCAGGATACCCAGGGCTCGGTTTACACCTATCGCCATTTCTAGCCACTGGGGGACCATAGGCAGGCTAGGGGAACTCATATTAATGTTAAAAAACCTCATAAAGTGAAATTTTCATGCCATGGGACCTTTAAGGGTAGCGGAAGTGTTCAAATACTGTTGGGCCTTTGTGTGGATCACATAATGATTTCACTCACCATAAAAGACTAGCGGCTGGACTTCTGATTCTGTACAAGAGTCTGGAACACAAACACCCACAAAGTACTCCACCCTGTCCTGCATAACAGAATAATATCACTAAGAAACAAGCTTTCATCTCAATTCGAGAGTGTCTGCTTATTTAATTATAATAATTGCATCTTTTGGAAATCAAAGATTAACACACACTGGCATAAGAAAAACACACTTACTGTAAAAAAAAAATACTAATGATGATTTTTTCAGGTTCTTAGTGGATTGAGGTGTTTTTATTCATGCTTTGTGTAAGGGTACCTGTTTGAGGAACACCTGGCAGTACTGTCCCCTGAACTCCGGACCCTCCACGGGCAGAAACTCTCTCAGAGATCCAGGTCTGTTCACATTCTCTCCTTCAACATCACTGCCAACCTTACCAAATGCATCGTACACTACAACAAGAAGTGGTGCAGGACATATAAATTAAATCCCAATGAGAGTCATCAAACTATGCTGTTTTTAAAAAAAAATTATAAAAGTAAAAATGTAATAAAAAATTCAATATTGATAAATAAAGAGAAAACAATGCTAAAATAATAATAAATGCATTGTTAAACTATTTTACACTTTCAAATATTAGAAATAATAATAATAAAGGAAAATAAATATAAAGAGAAAAAAGATAAACAATAAATAATACAAAATACACAACATTAAAAATAAATAAATAAATGTTTTTTAGATTTCAAATATGTTTCCAATATTATAAATCAATGTTAAATAATATAATTAAGGAAAGTAAAAGTAAACTGGTAAATAGAGAAAAAACAAACAATATAATATAAAGACTCAATATTAAACAATACAATTAAGACAAATAAAATAAACTGATCATATATATACATATATACATACAGTACTCAACATTTAAAGTGGATCAAAAACTTTCATCAGTTGTCCTAAAACTAAAACAATACCCGTTCTTGTCTTAGGACAACTTTAAGGAACTTTTTTGATCCACTTCAAATGTTGACTACTGTATATATATATATATATATATATATATAAACAAACAATTTAATAAAATAATATTATATACACAATATAAAAAATAAACAAACAGGTATAAAATATTTTAAACAATATTTCAAATATTATTAAATAAAAATAATTTTGCCCCCCCCCATGCACATGCTTAAAAGTATGCTTTAGTTAAATCTGGCATGATTACTTACTCAAGACTGCGTATTTGCTTGGGGTCTCTTTCTGTAATTCCATAAGGAATGCGGTTGTGTCCTCCTTGCATTTTAGCGACACATTCCAGGCACATGAGCCGTGGCAATCAAGCAGGTATATCAGCGTGACGGCACTCCATGTTAACCCTAGCATCTTGTGCAGTGTTTCATTTTGGGTGTTTCACTGGTTGAAATATTATGAGATCAGGACACATGATGGGAGAAGAGCTGGACATGTGACCTGTCACTCTCTCACCATCCAAAATGACCATGCAAATCAAAACGCCATGCTCGCATGATTGTCTGGTCATCATCACACTCAGCCTTTTACCTCAGGGAGGCCATTGAACAACTCAACAACACAATTTTTGTTTTGATTAGGTCTCTGCTCTAAAGGAAGAACTCTACAGTATATCAAGATATTAAAGTTTGAAAAACAAGACCAAATTATCTGTGCCACGCTATTCAAATTGATTTTATAGTGCTATACTCTTACTTAATGTCAACAACCGTCCATTTAAGGACAAAGATGATATTTCAATAAAACCTGAGAACTCCATTAAGTCTAAGAAAGAAAAATATTTGCCAAGATATGAGGCAAAATGTTGAACATATCTTAACATGAAGCACTGAGGAAACATGAACATGAAGAGAGAGGAAAGTCTATAAAATGCTTAAAGATATATATTTTTTAACATCCACCACCACAAAAGCCCCAGATTTACAGTGAATAATTACAAATTTAAAGTCACTTTCTCCCTTGTCAACATGCAAGCACCAATCACAATGCTGCATTTCACAGCGGTCCCTTTTTCTGACTTTAAAGGTCCACTGAAATGCTTAGAAATACGCACAGTGTTGCCAGCTAATTTCCAGGGCCCCTTTTTAAAATAGCCAATAGCGTTCGTTTATATCACAGCTTGGGCTTTAGCCGTTGAGCTCCGTAAAGCCGCATTTGACAGTTGTATGCCAGCCACAATCTCATCCATATTGCTATAAATATAGTATTCTGTGTAGAATTCAAATAGCTCCGATACATTTTGTGGTCTGTGCTGACTCGCGCATGTGATCCGCTCTGTGCTATCATGTCTCTGGACCGGAGCAGAGTGTGCGGTGCGGTGGTTAGCGTGACACAGCGCGAAACCAGACTTCTTTTTTTCCTCAATGGAAAGCATATTTACACTGTTTGAATCGTTCCCTGTCCCCTATATAGTGCACTACGTGCCATTCACTGTACAGAAAATACAAATTCTGTGGACAAGTGACCGATTTCAGCCGCAGCTTCAGCGTCTATTTTATAGTGTAGGGGGCAGGCGCTTCGGATTCTAGAGAGCATTTGATTGGACAGAAAGTTTGATGAGAAGCTGAAGTACGATGTGACGTCAAAAAAATCATTGAGCCGTTTTGGCGGAAGTGATGAACTGCAAGCTTTGAATGCTGATATCTTCTAAATGATAATTTTGTCACTGTTTTGGAGCACACTGCCTTATAGATAACCTTAAGACTAACATATTGATACTAACACCCAAAAAACGTTAATTTTGATTTCATGGGGACTTTAAATTCCCTTGTCACCAAGACCAGTGGCTGAAAGGGAATTGCTTTCAGGCTAATTAAAATGAGGCAAAGCAAGAGCTGAAGCACACAAACTCCATACCAGTTTAGACATGTTAGATATTTTTGTGTATGTATCATTTATTAATGATAATGTTGTTTGCACAAACAAAGTCTACCGAACATCAGCAAGACATTCTATAAAACAGAACAACCACCCACCATGAATGGCTTCTCTCATGCACATATGCGTCCTCAAAAGTACTCATTTATCCAAAGGAGAACAAAATACTGAGTTTCGAGAACAAATGAAAATCGTGAACTAGCACTGAGCTCCTCATGAAGTGAAACGTTGAAATGAAATGCTGCAGCTGAGTTAGAGGGGGGAAAAAATGCAGTTAACCTAGACATTTTATAAAGAAATTTTACAGCACGTTCCAAATTTTGACCAAAACATTCATTTATAGTGAAGGCAGCATTTGTTGCTCTTTTTTCCCTTTTTCACACTTAGCATGTGAGTCAGTTGAACACCAAACTTGAGACTTTTCCATGACATGCTGCTCTAAAAAAACTAACTAAAAATAAAACACGTACATTGGATTGATGACTTTCGAGCACCAGAGGCACTTGACCACACTTTAGTATACCAGCACTTATGAATTACTGATTTCAGGAACGAGAAAACACGAGTGGGGCATCCTACTTTGGAGTTCACGTGTAAAGAAGGAACGTTGGTTTTAAATAAATCAGGACATATTCAGGATTCGTTTCAGTTGTACTCTCTGCAGGGCAAATTGGTCTTGGATTCAAATGACAAATAAAAGCTTCCCAAAGTACCTCAAAATTAGACGGGCATGAATCCGAAATGTGGTTCTTGATAAGTTGAGCCACTGTAGTGTGATGATAATCCAAAACACAAATGCAATCAAACATAAGTTATGATTTGGAGCAAGCTGCCTGAGAAGAAATGAAGTGCGAAGAATCGTCCGGCTGTGACGAGACCTTAAAGTTAAAAAGCACATATTGATTCAACACGACCTCTTGGCAGTGGCTGAGATATATCAATTTAAATAACTACTTTCATGTCTTGTTCTTCCGTAGTGCTAAATTATAGTAGTTTTGAATGGACGACTAATTCACAAAACAGAAATGCACCATAAAAAGCTTTCAGGCTCAATTCCACATCCGGTTCTTCCGTCAAACGCCATTTTCGGCTGCTTTAGGAGACACTATTACTGCTTGTGTTGTAGGTTGCGGACTGATTGTCCTTTCAGAGCGCAAAATGTCTCACTGAGAAGTGTAACTGTGACATTCTGTGCACTTATTTTTTTTAGCAGCAGTTCGGAAACTGGGACCGAAAGCATCCCAAGACTGAGACAGCTGTTTGGACAGCATCTGTTCCCACGAGAAAACAACGAGAACTCTCGAAAATAGAAAATAAAAAGGAATCTATAAAAAAAAGGTCTACCCAACACGCATACAAACATCTATCATAAAGTATACAAAATGTGTTCTCATAGATAATTAAATATACATGAATCAGTTTTTAATATATTACACATCTTTAAACACACATTCTGTGTATAGATTTATACATGTTGTATATATATATATATATATATATATATATATATATATGTATGTATATATATA